ACTTAATTAACTAAAAAAATTACATCTTTATTAATAATAAATTAATTCTTAAACTAATCAATTAAATATAAACTAAACAAACGTGCAATACACGTTGCTTGCACCTAATAATTTTTAAAGCGTTTATAAAGTATTTTAACATGACGTTCCTTCAGCCGTGACTATATAAATACTCGGGAGCGTGGGCTTAATTTGCTCATTATATATAAGAGACATTATCTCTAGGGTTTCATTAGATTCTCTCCGTCTCTCTCAATCACTGTTGAAGAGGAGGCTCATCTGTAATCGATCATCTGCAAATGACCGGCAAGGCTAAGCCTAAGAAGCACACAGCAAAGGAATTAGCAGCTAAGTTAGACGCTGCAACCACCAATCGCGGTGGAGGTAAGGCGGGGCTGGCTGACCGCTCCGGACAGGATAAGGGCGGCCATGCCAAGCTGGAGTGCCCGCTCTGCAAGGTTACCGCACCCGACATCAAATCTATGCAGATTCACCATGATGCCCGCCATCCCAAGATCCCATTCGACGAGTCCAAGCTCAACAACCTCCACGCCAGCACCGTCGCCGACACCTCCAAGCCCAAGCCCGGCATTCGCGGCAGCTTGAAGAAGTGAATTTTCTTCTCCAGCTACTCTCGACGTAATATCATTCTACTGTCGTTAATCTTTTACTGTCTTGTTATGGTTACTGGCATTTTCAATAATAATTATATTGTGAACAATGTGCCATTACGGCTTTGTGTTGCTCTAGTCGTTTATTCTGGTGTTTGGTATTATGAATCTGATGTCAGTTTATATAATGTTGATGAAATTATAACTATTGCTCCGAGCCCATTATTTATTTATTTATCTCAATTTTTATTTATCTTATCAGGAAGGGAAGCCAATTTTGTTATAACATTGTGCTTATGATAGGGGGAAGTGATAACTGAAAATTCGCTCTCAGGTTAATATTTCTTTTTGCTATTATTGCTGCTATATAATGTCAACTTCAGCTTTTGTATATATGGGTAGGTTTATTTTCTTCTTTAATTGTTTGAACAGTGCTATTGATCCAAGATGTCATCTGCTTTGTTTTCATGTTGCTCTTACTAATGCTACTGACCGTGTTATGTTTGGGATACTATGCTAAATTTACGAGTGGATATTTGCGGTTCTTCAAATGGAGTGCTAATTCGTGCTTCAAAAGGTGGTATTGCTGTTAGGGTCTATTTTAGTTAAACTTGTTGGGCTTATCATGGTTGAGGGTTTTAGGATTCGGTTCAAAAGAGTAAAAACACAAACAAAAGAGACATGAAGATTGTTGTTTTGATGAGAATGGTGTTCTTGATTCCTGTTCTGATTATTTTCCAATTATTTTTCTTCCATGACATATGCTAACAATACCAGTATTTACTCTTTAGGATTATAATTTTCTTTACATGTCTAAAAGAGTTGTGGTTGACTCTGCATGTTCTAATTTCTATGCTTATCGAATTGATTTAGTTTGTGTTACTATGAGATGCATATTTGGCATGTCTGTTGTAATATTGTGCCTGTGGTACTCTGTTTTAGTTGTTTTGACGCCTTTGCTTTAACTTGTTAACACACCCACACAATGGAACGTGTATAATTCTTTAATATTAAGGCTGTATGTAGTGTTCTGTACACGCTTAGCATTTATTACTGTAGTGCATTTTTCACAGTCATGCTACAGGTTAATATCTGAGTTTGATACTCACACTCTTATTTCTCTGTTCTAAAGGCTGTTTTATGTAAGGACGATTGAATGAAATAACATTTAATTGTGGGTTTATATTGATATTGAGTGAATGCAATGAGGCCATAGTGTCCCAAGTTTTTTTAAACAGTACTGTGATTTTTTAAAATGGTTCTAGAGTTCTTTGAGGCTGGAGCAGGCCATGGGTTTTCTGGCCTTCTATGTAGCAAGCAATATCTGGAAAGAATATTAATAAAAACAAATTCTTCTTTGCTGTTTCACAGAAATTGAGCAGAAACAGGGTACAAATTAAATGTTTTCTGTATTAAACCACCCCATCAATTATTTAGGTTGTCCCATTTATACTGGAATCAAAAAGGCTATATTTTGAACATTTAGCTAGTTGAAATCAGTGGGAAGATCTCCAAACGGTCTAATAGCTTCTCGCCTGGTGGCAATATAATTTTGGTGGAACTTGTCTCGTCTCTATGTCTATGCACCTCCCTTCAAATGCTGCAACCAATTCATTGTGTTATAATGCTAGCGTTGAGAACTTATTTTCATAAGTTTTTGTGGGAGGAGAAATGGTGCTTGGTTTTAGAATATTTGAAGGAGGCTTGAGTGTTTAGCTGTTGTCAAAAGTCAGAAGTTAGAACCTGTAAATGTCAATGCTGTGGAGATTTAAAAACTGTGAACCATATCTTTTTATCATGTCAAATCGAATTCATGATTTGGATTGTTTTGGTAGTTGTACTGGAAACTCACTGTCTCTGTTCCATATAAACATTGCATCAGAGCTATTCTTGGCAGTTTGTTTGAAATTTTTGTTATAACTTCTAGTACCTGGTTAAGAGTGGTTGAGCTTGCACAGAAAATTTTATTTTTCTACTTGAGTGATTAGGCTGAATGGCAAACTGGTTATGCAAAGTCTTGGTTGCCTTTAGCTGTTTTCAGCGAATTCTTGATTCTCTTCACAAGACCACTTATATATGACAGGAGACTGTAATCTTGAACTTAGAGAGCGAGTGACAAGTCTTCCCGACTCTGTAATTACTTTGAATGTATTACGCGTTTTGAATCTATAAAATATAGACTGTCTGAAATGTTTGATGAGTGAAGCCTCTTGTTCGTGTCTTTGGAAGTTGAAACTGAGGGAGTTATGGAATCCGGTACAAGTTCTGGCAAATTAGAGGCCATATATCTATGAGTATTCTAGGTCAAAAGAATGACACAATATAATTGGGTTTTAGAGTAAATGAACGAAATTCTCTCAAGCAAAAAGTTCATCCATCCGGGTTTTCGTGGCAAAGGCGATTGAAGATTCTTTGAGTTGATGATCAAAGATTCTACTTCGTCAACTATTTTCTTTTACTTATCAATTTTGGGTGATCCATTTTTATACGATAACACGCTGCTTTGGCTTGGCTAATTCGTTTCTTACTAGAAATATGACATAAACCACTAGCTTGGTTAATTTGTTTCTTATTAGAAGTATATGACATAAACCACTATTGATGTTTCAATTTGAGAATTCTCGTTTTTCATTTTAATGCATGATTTGTTGATTATTTGTTAAGTATTAATCTTGTTTGAATGTTTGATCACCATTTAAACATATTTGAAACTCAATTTTGCTTTAGAGAGGTACAATTTAAGTTTTATTACATATGGACTAATGATGGACTATCCGATATCTCATCTTTGGTGAGGAGAGGAATTGTTTCAAATATTCCTCATTCAACATCTAGGAAGTTGAGGCTGGGGTTGACAGATGAAAACTGGAGCTTTGTCTAGCTGTCAGCCTCTCTAGTAGAAAACCCTGAGTTTGATGTTGAATAGAATTCATAACCAGCGAAATGAGCTAAGGCTCTTGGAGAGTCAAAACAGACTTTCAAGAACCTCTTCAACATTCCGACGGTGTCAAGCACCTCCTCAAGGGACATGTACCTCTCGATGTTTCCATTCATATTGTGTATCCTTCTTCCCTTGTTTATTTCCATTCGACTTGCAAATTACTCGGATAATTTATAATTGACTAAATGTTTCGGGATAGCACTTACATTAGTAGAGATTTCTCAATTGGATGTATATTCGAAATTGAATTCCATACATGAAGAGCAAAAGAAATTGAGTTTTATGGGTCTAGCAAAAGTGAAATTGGGATCTAGTAGGATCATAAATGAAATGTGAAATTTTTGATCGATAGATCTTAGTGAAAGTAAAATAACGGTAACTTGGAATTCACAAGGTATTTATTTGTTTTTCTATAATCTCAACTTGCTTAGTCACATAAACCTTTAATGATTGACATATAGCATATGTAAATTAATATTTGATGGGTCAAATGAAAAACAACAGTTAATTGTCCACCGAATCTGTAATTTTTACCTTTTTTTGAATCATCAGCAAATAATAGAAAGTGAATGGATAAAATTGTAGGAATGGCACGTCGAATATCATTTAGATTAGTGTTTCTCGCTTGTGTGAAATAACATTATTCACATTACTCTTTGTAATATGGCAAAAATATATTATTAGTAAAAACTTCGTTTGCTAAACGCGTTGGAAGGAAGGCTATGGTTCTCAAGTCCGAACCTCACTTCAGTATTCAGCCCTTGTTTGGTTTAAATTAAAATTTTAAGTCAAAGTCAATAATTAATTTTAATAAATCTACAACTTTTTAACTATATATTTCATTAATTTTTATCAAAATTTTATTTTAATCCCTACCAAATATGAGCTTAATATAAAGTCAAATTTATCGAATGTTAAATGTTTGGCTAAGCTTAAGAAATCTACTTATTACTAAAGTAAATAAGTATTAAAATAAATAAAAATTTATTTTTAAAAGTTATACAAAAATTATTCATTTTTTAGCTCACTATTAAAATAAGTATTTTTGTTCTCTGAACAGGTTTAATATAAGTTTACTTGTAAGTAGATGTATAGGGCGTGTTCGGTAGAGATTAAAATCAGATTAAAATTGAAAAATTAGTCGTTATTGTTGACTTTTATTAGACGAGCATGATTTAATAACGGTTATTTTTTCAATTTTAATTGGGTTTTAAGCCCTATGAAATATGCTTATATATAATAATTAAAATTAAAAATTAAGTAAATTATTTATTTCGACAATATTCAAACATTTTTTCATTATTCATAAATAGAAACCAAGGCATTTAAAATTGAAAGCAGCATAATCAAAGAAGTCACCCTTAGGGCATTCCCAAACCAGCTGCAGAGGAAACAGCCTGTTAATATAATATTCGAAAATACAAACTTTACTTTGACAAGATTACAAGGATAACATATTTCTTCAAACAGAAACCATCAAGTAATGAAGAAATGTAATTGGTGTACAATCATTAGATGATAGTAAAATCTTACAATCTCTCACATTAGTGTGTTACGAGTGGATTTTTCCAATAAGGAAAGAGTACAAACACAAACAGTAGTACTGCATCAACAAAAACCCCAAATTTCATTCACATGCTGTGCACGTTAGCCAAGAAAGCCCTTGCTGTTGGAATTAATTGATATAGAGTTAAATACTTAAATGTGATATTTAATTATGTGG